TAATTAATAAGTAAGGTTGCTATTGACAACGTGCGCGAAATCGTCAACAGTGAAAAAAAGTATTTCGCGCACGTGACAAAGTTGAACTTAAACAGCAAATTTAATTAACAATCGGTTCAGTTGTAGAAAAAATATTGTATATAACGCTAGCGCGAAAACTTCGCGCTTTTGACTGATATTTTGACTCGGCTTCGCCTCGTCAAAATACCTTCAGTCTCAATGCGCGAAATTGAACTTCGCGCTCTTGTTATATAAATAACTATTGTATCCTTACAAACATTTTTTTGTTTTATAATTTTTTTTTTTTTTTTAAATATATAAGGTCTAATTTTTTTTTAAAGGAACAAATTGTTTAATGAAAATAATAGAACAAGAACAAATTACATATAAGAACGGGGTTTTAAAACATAATAAATTTCAATTTATAATTATTATATATAGGTAGTATTATGTTATGACAGTGTTCATGATAATTATATAATAATGTTTTTAAGGTTACGTCTGAGTGCAATATGCTTTAGACAGCAATAATATCGAAAAGAAAACATTAATAAATTAATTTTATAAACGTTTCACATAGCGCTAATAAAACAGTTTTATAGATGTTCGCAAAGGAACAAACTAGTATCAGATAACACCAGTATAAATCTATTATGAAACAAATTTGTTCGGTAAGCTAAAATGTCGTATAAAGTTTTCGTGTAAACGTTTATAAAATAATTATTATTATTATAATTTGTCTTAAAACTGTTTTGTATTTTTGCGCAAAGAACGTTCTTACGACTCCCTTATAAAACAATATTGCATAAAGCAATTATATAATAAAGTAGCACGAACAGTTAGGAATTATAAAATATCTTTGCTAGTTGGGTTGTTTATCGCGAGAGTTCTCTGGTCTTTCTTATGTTGTAAACCACGCGCAAGTTATTCATTCTGCAGCGCTTCCTTGTGGACGCGGAATAACACTAATTTAGTTTGGCATGATATATCTATAGTATATTTAAATCTGTGCTAGTACATAAGAGATGGGCGCTTCTATTTTTAGTACATATGCAATTATGAACTAGTGCTACTCTAATATGCGGTCTAACATAGCAGGACTCAATATATTCACGATACATATTGTGAATATATAGGAACAAGGTACAAGAAAAAATGCTTTTACCCAAAATCGTCCTGAAACCTTTTTCATGCCTACTTTCAGAGCAGAGCAGACTACGTCTCCTGTCGCTTGTCACTTTACTGGCCGCACCGCCACTTTACCAGCCGCATTTGTGAATGTCTATAATGACTCCTGTCATCACTAACAGATCGACATTAATCAAAAGTTCTATATAAAAATTGAAATTTTATATTATTGAAATACGATTTCGTGTAAAATTCAATCATCATATATATATATATATATATACACGCTGGTATCTTTATCACCTCATTTTTTACGTTGTCGCCTCCGAATCCGGAGGTGACAACGTCTGACACTATATTTGGTATGTACACCCCCCCTGCACCCTTTAGGGGAAGTTTCAGCCGGAGGTGTTAACGTATCTTCAGTCTCCTCAAATCGGTCCTTTAGTTTCGCTGTATACCACTGGCGCTAGTATCGCACCCTTCTGGTGGAACGGGTACGTTGTCACCTCCGACTCTATATGATAAAAATTCGCAATAGGGGTGATACGTTAGCGCCTCCAAAAAACGGCAACATCGCTTTCCTGTAGGCGTTACGTAATCTCACATTCTTTGTAAGTTGCGTCATAAATAGAACTTATTACATTTTTACGACGATAATTCTGTTTAAAGGTAGCTTAACGTTAAATGTAATAAATTACTACTAGATATAGCATCTCCTACGGGACTATATGGCATCATACGTCAACAATCAGCGTCTGACGAAAGGTAGAAAAACTGAAAAAATTCTGCACCGACCGGGAATCGAACCCGGGGCCTACGAGCTGAGACAAAATCTTTTACATGAACTACGAATAGAATAAAAATTGATTGATCTATTTGCTATTTGGTTTAGCAAAATGAGAGTCATTTGTACCAATAGTGGGCTATGCTGACAATTCCTATAATGTTCTTCAGTTAGACCTTATTCGATTGGTTCCTAATATTTGAACCCAAATGATTTAACACATCAGCTGTTCCGAATCCGGGCCTTGTAATCTCCAAAAAAGAGATGGGTAGGAAACCAAACGCAGCGGGTTTGCAGATTTTAATTATTTGTAAATAATACCGTTTACTGGGAATGTTGTGCCATGGCAGTCTGTTATTCCAAAACGTTAAGATGATATGAATTATTACCTAAATATTAGTTTCTGGACTACAGGAGAACATTATAAACCTACTGGTATAAACAAATCTCCAGCAACCAATCACCAGCACATTCGTGAGGCTTGTAACTGGTTATGGACAGCCCCGTTGTCGCAAATCAAAATAGTTGCTTGTTCAAAAGAGATTCAATCGTATGAGTTAATCAACGTTGTATAATTAAATTTACACTTTTTTTGGAAGTTTGGCCTTGGCAGTCGATTAATCCAAAACATTATCTTGTAAGAGTTACATAAACATTAGTTTCTAGACTACAGAATGGCATTAGAAGTCTAATGGTATAAATAAATGTCTAGTAATCTATCACCAGGGCATTTTTGAAGCTGGTAGCTGAATATGGATGACAGTATTATCACAAATCAAAGTTCTTGGTTCTTCAAAATAGATACAACCTTTTGAGTTATTCAAAGTTGTATAATTAAATTTTTACAATTTACCATTTTTTGGAAAATTGGACCATGGTAGTCGATTAATCAAAAACATTAAGGTGGTATGAGATACCTAAACATTCATTTCCACGCTACAAAATTACATTAGAAACCTACAGGTATAAATAAATGTCTAGTACTCTATCACCAGGGTATTTTTGAAGCTGGTGGCTGGATATGGATGACAGTATTATCACAAATCAAAGTACTTGCGTCTTCAAAACAGATACAACCTTTTGAGTTATTCAAAGTTGTATAATTAAATTTTCACAATTTACCATTTTTTGGAAAATTGGACCATGGTAGGCGATTAATCAAAAACATTAAGGTGGTATGAGATACCTAAACATTCATTTCCACGCTACAAAATTACATTAGAAACCTACAGGTATAAATAAATGTCTAGTACTCTATCACCACGGTATTTTTGAAGCTGGTGGCTGGATATGGATGACAGTATTATCACAAATCAAAGTACTTGCGTCTTCAAAACAGATACAACCTTTTGAGTTATTCAAAGTTGTATAATTAAATTTTTACAATTTACCATTTTTTGGAAAATTGGACCATGGTAGTCGATTAATCAAAAACATTAAGGTGGTATGAGGTACCTACACATTCATTTCCAGGCTACGAAATTGCAGTAGAAACCTACTGGTATAAATAAATGTCTAGTACTCTATCACCAGGGTATTTTTGAAGCTGGTGGCTGGATATGGATGACAGTATTATCACAAATCAAAGTACTTGCGTCTTCAAAACAGATACAACCTTTTGAGTTATTCAAAGTTGTATAATTAAATTTTCACAATTTACCATTTTTTGGAAAATTGGACCATGGTAGTCGATTAATCAAAAACATTAAGGTGGTATGAGATACCTAAACATTCATTTCCACGCTACAAAATTACATTAGAAACCTACTGGTATAAATTATAATTCGAAGTTCAACGTTATGGAGGTGGTTTTGGTGATTGCACGCTGCTTCATCAACTCAATCAGCATTTTTACAACACCCTACTTTGCATTGCAATCATTGTATTCTGTGTTCGGAGTTTGTATGTACGTGTTGTGATAATGACCTCAAGAGCAAAGTTGATACTGAAGTTGTGTAATTCGGATTCCCGTAAGTACAAATGTTTATTTTTACCGTATAAGTAGTCCATTGTTTACATGATTTGTACGCTTTAAAAAGGCGCTCTTTTCTCTGCGTGGCGGTTAGATCGCTCACGTGTAAAATGAAACCGAGCGCTTTTAAACAATTTTTAGTAGAATTTCTGTAGTAAAAACGTTTTTCCATGTACTGCCTCTAGGAGATCGTGCAAGCATCGACGTAACGAGTAACAGACTTGGGATATACGAAAAAAATGGTATCCCCAATATTCACACCGGCTCTGAAAGTGAAACCTATAATGCCACGGCAATTGATGCGCCTCTAGAAGATGGTGTAGGCAAGGGCGAAACCAGTGGAAAAGTTGAGGTAGGCATATGATACCTTTCCTAGACCTATAAGGTTTCCTAAAAAGATAAGGTCTAAAACAATGAACACAATATACAATGTGTCCCTGGATTGGTGTTACAAGAGATGTAATGGATTAAAAAATTTTGAATTTTATTTTAAGATTCTCGGAATAAGATCTGCTTGGTGTGAATAGAATTTTAAGAATACTTTGGGTTTTTACAAATCAAGTCTACCTGATAGTGAATCAAAAACTATTTTATTTTTAGGTAAACTGCACTTTTTGTTCATGACTACAAACTGTCGCTAAGAAAAGTTGCTCAGCACGAGAAATTATGGCTCTATACAAAAATCGAAGAATATTTACCTACTTGGAGGCATACCCCTTGTAACATGCACAGGGACACACTCAATAAAACGTTACAAAAAAGTTACAGTTTTCACTGATTTTTGAGTTCGATTAGATAGATGTTTACTTAAATGTGTTATTGTTTGCGCTTTGCCCTTCCTTCCGTCCTTCCGAACCCTCTTCTGCGGTTTCAAACTACTTTTTAGGGGAATTGTTCTAATGACCTGGAATTTTTAGCAATATGTAGCCTACACCTGGAATTTTTATGTCTAACCCCCCCCCCCCCCTTTTATTGCTACATTAAGAAGACTGAACAGGAGGTTTAATGTAGGTACACATTTTTAGGACTGGCTGGTTAATAGCGATTTTTGGTGTGTTTCACGTCGGCGTCGCAGTTGCAGTGAGCCCAGGAGTGAGCCCGATCATTCAGAAACTGACAAACAATACACGGAACTTTTACCTATGCGGGAACCAAACAATTTATTTTTACAGTACGAGAATAGAAAACTATCAGAGTCTTTTCATAGTGACTTAGAAAAGGAACTTTTCGAACCTGTGTCTCACAAATCCGAAAAAATTAAGGTGGGTAAAACATCCAGTTCGACGCAGACAGATGGTTATCAACAAAATCACTATTGTAGATACTTGATAATATCGTTATTCGTGCGGCTGACATAGATTCGCCAAACAACTGTGATCCTCTTAGACCCCTTAATAAGAATAATGAAACGTCCAGTATTAGTGCTAGTTTCGACGATGACCAACGAGATGCGGATTTTGACCCCGCCGACTACCATCTAAGAAACAACACAAGCAATGAAACCGATGAAACTTACCAAGACGCAAGTTATGCTCCTATCGCTGATTTAAATCCCATTAATGCTATTGAAACTGAAGCAGCTTTTCAGTCACTTTCACAGCAAATCATCAAGGTCAGTACCCTTTATGTTTAGTGTTTTATGTTTCATGTGATTCTATACCAATGATAGTGCACCTAATGCTGTCGGTTAAATCACTTTAATTAAGAATTCATTTATTCTAGAAGAGAAAATCCCAAAAGGCAATTGCTAGGTGTAAATTTTGTGATGAAGATGTATGGTCTAAAAATTTTGTTCGGCATATAGAGAGGCTGCATCCTACGGAAAATGAGGTTCAAGATATATTAATGCTCCCCAAGAAAAGCAAACAAAGGCGAGAAGCATTCATATCTCTTAGAAAAGATACAAATTTCGATCTATTCATCATTGGAAGTACACGCCCTTACCGAACTGGGAAGCAGGAACCTGAACACCCACAATATTATCCCTGCTTTTTATGTAAAGGCATATTTTTGAAACGATACCTTAAAAGGCATGCCAAAGTATGTCCCTTGAAGTCAGTACGAAATGCCGATAGTAATACTAGAAGAGACCATGTGTCGGCATCACAAACTGTAGTGGCTTGCGCAAGTGACCCTACAAACACGTTGTCAACATTAAGGGTCAAAAATCAGGTTAATTAATTATTTTCGTTTTATTTATAATATATATATCTGCCATCTTACCTTAGGTTTTCGACAAAATGAAGGGAGATGAAATATCTTTCGTGGCCAAAACAGACAGTCTCATTGTGCGTTTTGGTGATTCATATTTGAAGAAGCACAAACGTGAGAGAATTAGCTACGTTTGTAGCAACAGAATGAGGGAGTTAGCGAGGCTCCTCATTGCTTACAGAGACATTGTTGGTCGCACCAACGTGGATTTTAAACAACTTCTTCTTCCGAAAAACTTTGATTCTGTGTTATCAGCAGTAAGGATCATAGTGGGGTACGATCCAATAAAAAATACTTTCAAAACACCCAGTCTAGCCATGCACTTGGGAACGTCTTTAAAATTAGCTTGTCAGGAACTGTCACACTTAGTTTTGAAGGAGACCAGAGGATTTCGGGCTCAATCACCAGACTTAAAAACCATTTGGCTAAAAGACATTAAAAATTTTAAGATGCTTGTTGAATCTCGGTGGAACATCGAATTAGCGTCATTGGCAAATAAAGACTTAATGGAGAAAAGGTGGCAAAAACCACTGCTTCTTCCACTAGTTAGCGACATTAAGATATTTCGCGATGAGTGTTTAAAGATGGCCGAAGAATGTGAAAACGTATTTCGTCAAGGAAATGATGATAGAAATACATACAAATTACTCCTAAATTGCACTTTGGCACTGCTAATTGTCTTTAATAGGAGACGTATCGGCGATATACAATACTTAAAGATTGCTGACTATAAACGGGATATCCGTAGCGATGTTAACGATTTTGAGAGTGTGCTAACAGATGTTGAGAAAATGTTGACTAGCAAATATAAACGCGTAGTTAACGGTGGAAAGGGAAATCGTGCAGTAGTTATACTAATACCCGAGCTCTTACAAAGGTTTATTGATATAATTCTAAAAAATAGGGATAAATATATTACGTCCGATAATGAATACGTATTTGCTGTTCCTGGCAGCACTGTACCTTGGGGCAAAGGCGATGTAGCTATTAGGGCACTAACAAAGAATATGAAACTAAAAAATCCCACAGCAATCTCGAGCAACAAACTGCGAAAGCAAATAGCTACTGTAATGCAATTGTTAAATTTAAGCAAGGATGAATCAAAGCAATTCGCACAGTTTATGGGCCACACAGAAAAAACCCACCAGGAGTTCTACGAGTAAGTGTTTATTTAAATTATAAATGCCTACCACATATTTACCTGTACAGATTACCAGTAGACATATATCAGACGGCAAAGGTGTCCAAGATTTTGCTCGCATCTGAGAAGGGTATTCCTGCCCAATACAAAGGCAGGTCCCTGGCAGACATAAATTTCGACGAAAATTTAGAGTACGCAGTAGAAAACAACGGTAAGTTTGTAATATGTTTATTCCCTTAGCAACCATTATAAATCTAGAATATGTCATTAGATGCTGATGAAGGAGTAATACTTTTGCCTGAAAATGAACATTTTGAAATGAACATTGAAGATCCACAGACGAAGTTGCTGCCTAATACATATTGTAAGTTCATTATAAGATTTATGAAATACATTTATTCTTCATAAAATATTGTGCTTTGAAACTACTAAACTACGCGTTTCGACTGCAAGACTGTCATCATCAGCGAAAAGCATTTATCATGATATTTTGACAACCTATTATAATTTTAACTTATAGAAATAACGATACTTGAAAACAAAGTAAAAAGAAAAGACTGCAAATACAAGTTGTAAGTTTGTATATACGTAGATCTATGTATTATTATCTCCAAGAAATAATGCCGGTCACAGAACACCTCATGTCGGTCTACAACCTATATTTTTCTTAAGATGTGAGCGATTTCCGGAATAGGGTTCTGTCAATGTTGAACGAAAAGAACGGAACGCTATCATCTTCAGAAAAACATAGACTGCTGACCGACATCACGTGTTCTGTGTCCGGCATTCTTTCCTGGCGAGAATATTATTAATTAATGTTTTTAGCTTCTCCTACAGCCTGCATTGCAATTGACGACAATAGTACCCACAGTTTAGATGGAAATGATAACCCAGTTTCTCACGATAAGACATCTGTTAGTGGTAGTCAAACTAGAACGAGGGTATCTGAAAAAAAAGGGGTAAGTTTGGTACATATATGGGTATTAGTGTCTGCATTTTGATTATTTTTGTAATTGTATAAGTACTTACCTTTTCTTGCAGTCCGCAATGAAAGTGACGGAAGTGATAGCGACAATAGTAATGGAAATGACAACTGTAACAATAAACAAGGGAAAAAAGTTATTGTAAAAAAGGGTAACGATTAAAGAAATGTAAATATGTATATATTTTACCTGAAAATTTGTAGGTTGGAGTAACACGGAGGTTCAAGTCTTAAAACAAGAATTTGCCTCTTTCTTTAAAACAAACGTTTATCCCTCAGGTAAAGAGATCACTAAGTTTAAAAATAAAACTGGTTCTACACGCAGTATTGCAGTAATAAAATCAAAACTTCAACATCTGATGAAGATAACCAAAATGTGATTAGTTGATAATGGAATAATATTAAAGAATAAGCGTGATAAAACAGTTTGTATTTTTTTATTTTAAACCCTTGATTAGGTTTGTTCCGGCGAACAAAAAATGAGCTACAAAACAAACATTTCAACATCTTCCATTAAATCGCACAAAATCAAAAGGACATCGAATAAAAGAATTATTGCATTGAGCATACGCAAATTGTTATTTTTGTTACAAGTACCTAAACACAGTCGAGTCTGGAAACAACAAAATCAGTCCCAAAAAAACGTTTTAGGTACGTGTCACAAACAACATTTTTTTAGTAAAGCTACAAAAACACATCCTCCATGAAAGTTTTATTGAGTAACTAATGTACTACGGTACTAGGACTACCTTAGTTACTCATTAAAGTTTTCATGGTGAAGGTTTGGAGTGAACTTTAATTCAACCTTATTCATTCGATCCCATTTCCAGAAGAAAATACACCCAGGAATAATCTAGAAAAAAAGTTCTTGTAGGTATCAAAAATTACAAATGACACTTTTGCTGGTGGTGTAGGCAGTTTTCGGGCTATTACTATTTGGGACTGGTTTCCTACGTAGCTGAAAAACCAAAAATAAAGTTGAATACAGCGGCACGCACGTACAGTTTATCTTTTGAGCTTTTGATGCAACGTTCTGCGGACTTCTACAGGGTGTTTTTTTGGGAGCTTTAGTTAAACGTTTCTGGGAAAGTGTAATAGGTAGTGTTTTGAAAATTTGTATTTAAGAGTTACTCTGAAGGCCCAATCGATGTAAAATATTTTCAAAATGGTTTCACTACCGGAAATAACTAGTTACTTCGTTATTTTAAATAGCAACCCCTATTTTATATTGCATTTTTGGATTCTACGTGAAATTTCAGTTGTTTTGACACCCACATGTCAATATCGACAATTTATGGTTTTTAAGTTTTTTTGACTTCTAGAAAAAAAGGGCGGTTGTAGACGGTACCTTGATAATTAATTACCAGAAAACGGATGTAGTTACGACAACCCATTTTTACCAGCGCATAGAGAAAGAACCGAAATGTGGATCTCCACAGGGGCGGTCGTGCGCAACTTAACTTTTTTCAAATACACGAAGAGAAAACCCTATTCTTTCTCTATGCACTGTTAAAAATGGGTTGCCATAACTACAACCGTTTTCCAGTAATTAATTTTTAAGGTAGCGTCTGCAACCGCCATTTTTTTCTTAAAAATCAAAATAAAAATCATAAACTGCTGATATTGACATGTGGGCACCAAAAGAACACTGAAATTTCACGTAGAACCCAAAAATGCAATAAAAAATAAGGGTTGCCATTTAAAATAACGAAGTTGCTACATGCTTCCGCTATTTCCGGAAGTGCCATTCATTTTGAAAATATTTTGCATTGATTCGGCCTGTAAAGTTAGTAAAACAGGGTGTATTTTGAAAAAGGAAGGTAAGGAGAATAAACGGAAACACTAAAACACCTGTGGCCGTTTATGTAATACAAACTGAAAAGAAAACCAAAAAGAAAAAAATGGCGTCTATTTTTCAATTTTTAATGATAGTAAGATTTTAATTAGGATCTTAAACTAGTTGTACACTATACTGTGATAACATTTCTATGCTCGATTGGTTTTTGTAATTGCACATTTGAGGTAGGTAATTCTTGCCCTCGGAGTTTACTTATAATGCTATAATAATTAATAACACTTCTGGATACAGATTTTCGGAATTTCCGGATTACAGATTAAACAAAAAGTATATAGTTTTAAAATGTTACTAGCTTTGCAAAGGTTCCCTTTAAAATTTAGATTTGTTCTTAGCTTACTAAATTAAACACATTCTGTAGCAGGTTAATTATAAAATAGAATAACTTCTACATCAAATGCTGAATAGCGTAAAACGGCGAGAGGTCAAGTTCAATTCTAAAAATAGATTCGGATATATCAAAAAGTACACAGTAGTGTCGATATTACCTCCAGAAAGACGGCAACACTGTCGGAGGCGAAAGCGCCACTTTGGTATCTGAACTTATATAAATTTTTGAGGCGACAGCGTACCTTTCTTGCCTCATCATATATGGTTCCAAAATTTTGAATATACTTTTCCCCTCTTATGGGATTTGGATTCCTGAGGTTCCCCTCAGCATATATACAAATTTTTACTACCCTAACTATAGGGGTTGATGTGGAGGCGAGGTCGCCACCTTCATATGCCGGAGGCGCTAGCGTATCGTGTATACGTATATATATATATATATATATATATATTGTTGTGAGACCTAACCTTAACTTCTGGAAATCCCACGATTTACCTCTAGCTAGCTCAGTAGTAAAAAAAAATGAAAACAAAATTTTTATCTGTATCTCAAGGTCCAGCTGGATTCTGCCACCCTACAGCATTCCAACAATGACATAANACAATATATATATATATATAATCGAATCCCTTAAATACTCCAAGGGTGTAAGGGCTACAACTTAAATACATTTCATTCTATACTATAAAAATAAATCATATTTCGTTAATTATAAAGATGAAAATGTAGTGCTTACCATTTTGCATGTTGATTAACAATGTAGTGAATTTAGAAAACTAAACAAAATGTGTTAATATAAATGAACAAAATATGATGATTCAATAAAACAGCATTAATCTAAAAACCTTCAATTCAGGAAAAATGCCACACATCTGAAATAATTGTAAATGATGACATGCTTATTTAGAATATATGTTTCATTATGTTATTGTATTTTTATTTTCGGCTTTTGCAGTAGGACGATTTCTGGATGAGGTGGATTCTTATTCGGAAATTCCAGTATCCTGGATTTCAGACGACAAATTATACTGTTATTGGCCTAGCCATAAAAACTGTGGACAATTAATGGCAAAAGGTGTGATACCTGATGATTCATGGGGCTGCGAAAGAATGGGTATAGAAGGATATTATGGTATGTTATAGCTACCAATAGAAATTGTTTTGTTAAGTAGTCATATTCTTCACATAAATACTTTGGAGAAAGCCAGGAAAATGGCCAATGACCCAAATTATACATCACATGATGAAAAGCGCAAGAGATGTCCCAAGCCTTCAAAATGAGTCAACAATAACACCAGCGATGAGGGTACACTATATTTCTAATGTATATTTATGTTTTAAATGTTGCAATAGGCTTTATTTTTCTAGGAGATGACAGGCTGGCCTGACGGCTCGCCAGTCAACTTCTCCTATCGCCAGTAAAAACTCACTTACCTGGCTAATAATGTAAAATACTATTATTTGTAATTGTATTTTAGAAAAAATGAACAAATTATTACATAGAATGGAGGAAAAAAAAATGCTGACATTAATACCAAATATATCTCATACAACACAACATGTTTCAGAAACATTTCAGAATCATTGCAATCTTTCATTTGAAATATTTCAAAGAGATTGCACGGAGAGCTACACGAAATGTTTCATTTGCCACGTTTCCAAAATATTGAAGTAAGATTTCTCTAAATTGTAATATGGCTTTTCTATAAAAATTGTGGTTTTATTCAATAATTCGATAAATACAATACTTATATTCCTATTATTCTCGAACATATAACGAGTCTATAACACCCAGCGAGAGCGACCATAAGTTCGCTTTGCTATACGATGCGGAGGTGCAAAACACATCTCCACAGAGGGCTCTGGGTTTTTCAGAGGTACATTGGTACGCGCCGGCGCCATATGCAAATACGCTACAATAATAAACAGTGATGTGCAATTGCACGTGTAATACAAAAACGTGGTGTTGGTGTTTTAAGTGTATTTTTTTCATTCTGCGTTATTTCCAATCAAGTAAGTACATCATTTAATTTAGTTTTTGATTTTGTATAATATACCGCCACCCATCAGCAAGTTCTCATATAATTACAATTGTGCATAACCTCAAAACTGCGGCTATCTATTCTATTGTATGTATTAAGATTAGTGGTAAATTCGTACATTATAATTCAGTTTTTCAATAATTTAAGCGTCTCTCAAATATACTTTGCATACCCGGTACATGCAACCATGTGAAATCAGCCCTTACATTTCGAGTTCACATCCTCCTAATCTTTGTAGTAGGTAAGGTATCCTTTAAAAGGAGGTATTGTAACCTTCCATTTTGTAGGTAAAAATCTGGCGCCAAATTCAAATTGGTATGTAATATATACCTACCTATGTATCCTTACACAAAGTATGTGAAAAATGCAAATTATATGCTTTATTTTTAAATTAGATTACACTAATTGACAGGTAGGACGTTAGTTATCATACACCAGGGTTCATAATGAGCCTTTATTGTAATTTCATACAAATTTGTTAACTTACATTAAGCTTATGCAACAGAGTAAGTGAAAATAAATTTGTTATAAATTGTTACACATATGCATGACAATGTCATAGACTACGTTTACGCCGTAACTTTCGGATGGATGTACGGAATCCACTACGTTAGAACCTACTTTTGCGGGTGTACATGCCATGACAATTTCAAGTGGATACGTCGAAATTACTCGTCAATTCCTAAACTGTTCAAAGTAGGACTTTTTTATTATCTCCACTTTTCTTGACCGGCAATTAGACATTATACACTTTCATTTACACTAAATAAATGCAAATTTAGCTTTAAGTTCCGTGTAGAGGACCCACTACGGTCATGTGGTGTAAACGTAGTCATAGAGAAAGACACTTAAAATGAAGGAAAATCTTAAACTAATTAATGTATTTTTTTTGTTAATTCATTTCTTTTTGAACCGTGCGCAACAGATGATTGGGAATTTGTGTTTAAGTTTTTTAGCCAAAATTGTAACCTACAATTGATAAATGTTGCAGAATACAAATATGAAAAATCACATTGGCATACAGGCAGTACATTGCCACTAATATGTTTGTTTGCATAAACGATTAATGATTGAATATTTTGAGAAACGTTCATTTTATGCGCACATATTTTCTCCAATAGTTGAGAT